TGTGTGTGTGTGTGTGTGTGTGTGTGTGTGTGTGTGTGTGTGTGTGTGTGTGTGTGTCACTCAAAATATTTTATTTCCCTGTCATACTGTTTAAATATGACTATCTAGTACTATAGTAAATTAAACCATGAATTCACACGACTGTGGCTCTCTTGGGTAATGCTGATCACTAATTTGGCTCCTGAACCACTGAGGTCTGAGTATCACTGAGCTAGGGCCAAAATTTCCAAAGCCTAAAGTCACTCCTAAATCACTGGGTAAATTTTCAAGCACAGTGAGCACCTAAGAGCTGACCCCAATATCACAGGGAGCTGCTCCGTGTTCAGCACACCTGAAAATCTGGCTAGTGACTTTTAAGAGTCTAAATGAGGATTTAGGCTTTTAACGTTAAAGGACTTCTTTTTGAAAAATTTGGCCAAATATAATCTCCCACCCCATTGGCCTGGATTAGTTACCTTGCTGTCTAGGCAATCACTTGGTGGATTTTATGGGCCAAATTTTCCCAAGTGCACACATGCAATCCAGGTACATGGACATACAAATGGCCAACTGACCACTTTGTGCATGTAATTACTGCAGTTGCATGAAATAGCAGGGCAATCATGTGTGCTAATTAGGCCTCACCCAATCCTAGAAATCCTCATCCAGAATCTGACCTTATGTGGAATCTAGTTGGCAATTTACAGGGAGAATGGTCTCATAGTTAAGGCACTGGATAGCACTTGGGACTTCACAAATGAAAGGTCTCAGTGCCCAACTGCTGCAAATTGATGGTGGTAAAAGGAGAGGTAGCAGACACAAAAGAGAAGGCCGAGATGACTGAGAAATGGTCAGGGATAGGCCTCTCAACAGACAATACTTTTAAATGCAGCCAAAGAAATTCAGCAGCAGAGGGTGCCCATCAACTAAGGTCTCATGTTTCCTGCTCCTATCTGGTCCTCCCAGGTATTCAGACCCAGCAAAGTCAATCACACTAGCTGGGCAGTGGGCAATTGCTCAAGCCACAAAGAATCAAGCAGTAGGGCCTCTTTCCCATTTCAGAAGACATCAGTTGAACCACCCCCATCCTCAGACAGATTTTAGATTGAGAAAAGGCTCTTACCTGCGCAACCCTGCCTTTAAACTTTTGCAGTCGGTGAATTAGATGGCTCTCACTACATCACCGGCAGAGAAAGGGGAAAAGGGAAAACAAAAGGGAAGATTTTAAGGGTTTGCAACTGAAACTTCCAGAGGCTTGCTCTCTGTCATAAACATACAGCCAAGGGTAGCATAAAATCCCTCTTTACCCTGTAAAGGCTTAAGAAGCTCAGATAACCTGGTTGGCACCTGACCAAAAGGACCAATAAGGGGAGAAGATACTTTCAAATCTCTGGGGGAAGGTTTTTATTTGTCTTTGTTTTGTTCTCTTCGAGTCAGTAAGGAACCAGGGCAGAAAAAATACATCTCCTTAAACATATCTGGACTAAGCATCTAGTATTGCAGAAATAGTAAGTAATAGCAAAGAAATGCGTTAGATTATCTTTTGTTTTAGCTTGTGAATTTTCCCTGTGCTAAGAGGGAGGTTTATCCCTGTTTTTGTAACTCTAAAGTTTTGCCTAGAGGGGAAATCCTCTGTGTTTTTGAATCTTTTGTTATTCTGTAAAGTACTTACCATCCTGATTTTACAGAGGTGATTCTTTTACCTTTTCTTTAATTAAAATTCTTCTTCTAAAAACCTGATTGATTTTTTCATTGTTCTTAAGATCCAAGGGTTTGGGTCTGTGTTCATCTGTACCAACTGGTGAGGATATTATTCTCAAGCCTTCCCTAGGAAAGGGGGTGCAGGGCTTGGGGGGGAAATAGGACTCCAAGTGGTCCTTTCCCTGATTCTTTGTCTAAATCACTTGGTGGTAGCAGCGTACTGTTCAAGGCACAAGTTCCACCTTGTTCTTGGGAAAGTTTTAACCTAAACTGATAAAAAATAAGCTTGGGGGGGTCTTTCATGCGGGTCCCCGTATCTGTACCCCAGAGTTCAGAGTGGGGAAGGAACCCCGACACACTCTTTGCAAAACATCTGGTGAAGACTCCCTTTCCCCATGTACTCAGAACACTTAACACTATAGAGCACTTTCCATCTTCTGAAGGGAGGGAAATGATTTCCCCTTTTTATAGATTAGTTTAAGTGACTAGTCTAAAGCAATAGGAGTTCTACTTGGTAGAGATGGGACTTTTCTCTCAGGAGATCCTGATTCCAGTCCCTAGATTATACCCAATACCACTAGATTAATTTAGCACTAGTCTACCTGTTCTCACAGTACATTACCTGGCACTACATTAGTAGGGATGGAGAAAAGCTGTACTAAAAACCTCCACTGGGGAAAGGAGTATAAAAGTAAAGAAAATAGACCTGTAAGAGTAGAGAGTGATCGTCTCAACTGAGGAGCCAAGCAAGGCAAGGTCGGTTTTGATTGTGTCACAGCTGGTGAATAGAATTTTTAAGTACCAGTGAAGTATGGTTACCATCTAACGCTGGGAAGTGACCACTTTGCAGCATGAAGGCATCAAAGAGCCACAAGCTAAAATACCGATTAGGCTTCCTTACGTTTACAGAGAGCACGTTACTTTGTGGATTAAGCACAGAATTAGACGCCAGCAGCTGCTGAGTTCTAGTCCACGCTCTGCCACAGCACCTGTGACCGTGAGTGAGTGAGTCCCTTTGGCGCTCTGTCTCCCTGGCCACATACGGAGGAATAACAATACTGCCCTCCCCTCACAGGGTTGTTTGGAGAATTACTGTCTGCATGGTATGTTTCACATCATAGAGCCCTACCTAAGTGCCTGTTACTATTGCTCCTTCCCCAGCTGCAGATTCAGACTGTGCTGTACAAGGACTTGTTGTTCAGGATCAAATGCGGTTTCTACACACCTGGGCACTATCACCATCTAGGAGGCTAAAGATTGAAAACTGGCTGCAAATCACACTGGTCTTGAACCGTTATGTAACTTGGTATTTTCTTGCTAACGTCTGTGGAAAAGGAAGCCAACTGCTTATGCCTTTTTTAGATCTCAAGTGCATGGTGACCCCACAGTGCTCAGGCCCTGTGAGGCTTTACCCAGAGTCCCGGTGGAGTGTTAGACCTCCCAGGGATGAATGGTTAGTTTTTGGACCCCTCAACCTTGAGCAATGTCCTTTCACAGTCACCTTGCCCCACCTAGCTCCAATTGAAGATTAATTATATGAGATATTCTATTATGCAAAAATAAAGGGTATGAATTTGGAGGGGTATTCTCACCTGTAAATTTCACCTTCGGTAACTTTTCGGCCACACTGCCCATAGGAATTGTTGCCCATGCTGAAGACTGAAAAATAATGATTGCATTCATGTGACTTCCATTTAGCTATTTGAGTTAATATCAAGCATTTGTTCTCTCACAGATGTTGGCTCCTAACTGCAACACGGCCTGCAAAATCCTGACATACACCCAAAATGCTTAGCTCTCAAGCACCCACAAGATGATCTTGAACCTTCTCACCAGGGTTCACCTAAATATGAGAGATTCAAGACATTTCAGGCAACAATGTCTAAGCAGTAATGTCATATGCACCGTACTGGTACCTGGAGGCTAGTGGCCATTCCTCCATAATTGACTAGCTCATTCCACTGTTGCCTAGGAGATTTAGAAATAAGATCCGCATTTCCACAGAAGCACTAAATCAAGTGATCAATTCTCCCAGGGATCAACAGCTGTACTGGGATGCTAAATATTGCGCTGAAGTTGGTGTGCTAAAGAATTCTCGGGGCAGTTGAGAGCCAGTCAACACAGGGGTTCCTCTATATATAGGCATATTAATTCATTAATTTATGAATGCAACAGTCTACCCAGACAAGTAGCACTTAGAGGTTTCACAAAGAAAATGCCAGAAGGTATTGGCATAGCTGTCCGAAACCTGAATTAGAAAATACATCCAGCTGAAAAAGACAAATACCCTGCACTTAACAAGCCCCAGGGCTAGACAGACAAACCATATTTTAGAATACACCTCTACCCCGATATAACGCTGTCCTCGGGAGCCAAATAAATCTAACCGCGTTATATCGAACTTGCCTTGATCCGCCAGAGGGCGCAGCCCTGCCCCCCCCAGAGCGCTGCTTTACCACGTTATATCCAAACTCGTGTTGTATCAGGGTAGAGATGTACTTGCAGTACAAAAACATCTACAGCTTGTGCCAGATGGAACGCAGAAGGTGAAGAAGATTTAAGCTTAGAGCTTTCCCTCCACTGAACAATCCTGCTTTAAAGGTTGAAAAAAACACTTCCATGTGCCATATTTATACAGGGAGGTTTGGGTTCAGCTTTTAAGGAAAGAAAAAAGAAAAGACTTGAGCAATCGGTTGTCCCTTGCCACCACTCTAAGTGATACTGTACCTCCTTCCTTGTCCGTCAGGATGAGGGAATGAGCTCTCCCACAAGCCACCTGCAAGATCCGAGTTTCCTGGGGAGTGTCCAGTGGTAATGGAATGGGAGACGGTTCCAAGACATACTCATAGCCTTTAGCTTTAAGAAGGAACAGACAAATCAGAAATTAACAACTTCTACAAAGTGAACTTGGTATGTGTTTGCTGGCGGATCGTATTTATAAACCCACATTGCCAAACAGGTTCCTAGGATAGGTAAAAGACAATTTATGATCCAGAAAGCAAAGATCCTAACCAGAGTCAAGGGGTGACCTGGATCTCTCTCATACTAACTGCCAATAGGGAAGGCTTGGAAACAGCAAGCACTGGATTCTGCTCAGTAAGCAATTCACAGAATGCAGGAGTTTGGTGGCATTAGATTTTAGGTGGCCACATTCAGGGAATTTCAACATTTCATTTCAGCAAAGCAGTTAAGCATGTTGGATGGATTACTGAGGAGCTTGAAGTTAAGCATGTGCTTAACTACTTTGCTGAACTGGGGGCTTTGCGACTCCGGTAAAATGGGAGAAAACATTCAAAGTCAGTGTGGAAGGTGAATCGGGGGCCTCATGACACCATACTTAAAGCACAGCAGATTAAAATTCCTCTCAGAACAAGGAATGCAAGGAACAAGCAGCAACAAATGTGGCGTCACGAGGGATCAAAGCTGTAAAGGTTTTTTTAAATATTGTACTAGAAATGAAAGCGTTGGTAACTCAGAATATACAATTAGTTAAGGCCATCAGGGAAAAGAAAAAAGCAGCAAAAAAGCACAATATAATCAGTGCTACACAAAAGGTCAAAGGGAGATGAAGAGCTTTTACAAATGTATCAAAGGAAGAAATGATACTAGAGGGAAAATGGCTCCCTTAAGATCACACTACAATATCTTTACACGCAGTGAGTAGAAGTACCTTACGCCACAAGTCATCCCACTGATTGATGAGGATCTCTTGTGCGGCCAGGTACCCTCTTTGTAGGTATCAACAATCTGGATCTTAGTGCCTGGAGGGAGCTTGCAATGCAAACAACAGGAAATGCAATACAGGGGACTGCCTACACGGAGGCAGGTTTCACCGGGAAATAGCCATTCTACCGCTCTCTAATGTGGCCACATCAGCATCTCAATACCAGAAAGATACTGACAGGCTGGAGGGAGTTCTGAGACTTAAACTACACTACAAAGCGAGGTCAGCCAGAAGTGTGTTTAAAAAAAAAAAAAAAAATCACATCCCCTAATGAATGTCGTGACGCTGGCAGAGCAGGTGCCAGCTCATGCCAAAATCCCCATGTCTCAATTGAACACTGACGCAAACCTAGCTGGAATGAGGCTGGCTCACCTGTGTGTTAATATTGTTAAAATCATTCTAATACCTATAAGAACGTGTTTAGTGTTTAGACTTTATGAAATGGTTGAGAGTTGCTGCATGCATTAATCTAATTTACAGCATCTGTAGCCCATACAGTAAGGTAATATTTGAGCACTTGTATTTTAAGCCTCTGTGACTCTGTGCAAGTCACCAGACAGGAGAGAAATATTAATTAGTATGAAGTGCTGATCTGCAACACAAGATGTTATGTCCTTCCTAACAGGAAAGGTCTATCGACACTAGACTATTGTGGGACGTTAAAGAGGACAAAAGACTTGTTCTGCTCTCCTCCCATGCGGATGAGTCATGCAAGTGGATTCCTCCTGTCAGCTGAGTTTGCAGCTCAGAGCCCATGGCAGGAGGGGATGAAAACACCAAACAAAAGGAACTAGGCATCTCTAAGCTGCTTCAACTCTGGTGGGGGGGGAGGGGAGGGAGGGGAAGAGGGCAAGGATTTTCTAGGCATAAGAGAGCCCGAACTGCTTAGCCTGGGTTAGCTCTAAAGGACATATAGAGCTTGCTTATTGTAGAAGCGTCTATTACCTTTTGAAACATATGACTGTTACTCCTTTGTGTGTGTATGTTCACCTGCTTTAACTTGGTAAATAACTCATTTCCTTCTCCTAGCTAATAAATCTTCTTATAGTTTTTATAGGATTGGTTCCAAGTGTTGTCATTGGTGTGAGATCTAAGGTGCAGGTGACCTGGGGTAAGAGACTGGTCCCTTGGGACTGGGAGTAACCTGAATACTGCTGTGATTCTTGCTGTAATGAACCATCTATCACAGAGACACGCTCACATGGGTGGCAAGATAGATCAGAGTACCAAGGAGACTGCCTGTGACTCCAAGTTAAGGCTGTTATAGAACTTGAGGGGTTTACACTTGACAATTGATTGGTGCAATCTAAGTATATAAGTCACAACCAATCTGTGGCTTGTGTCCTGGTTCCTAACAGTCTGCCCTGAGGTTGGTGCTCCCACTCTTGAGCCACTACAGGCAGCATTCCAGTTACGTCGGGGAGGGGGGGGGGGGGGGGGGGGGACAATAAGTCACATGCCCTGGTCAGTATAACTTTGCTGGCAAAACCCATGGTGTAGACACCTGCCAGCAGAACAGTGCTACTGACGGTTTAGTGAATATTGTTCAGGGAGATGATGTAGCTAGGCCAGCAAAAAAAAAAAAAAAAAAAAAAAAAAAAAAGTTTCGGCCTCCGCTAGGGGGCTCTGTCAGCAAAGCTATACCAGCAAAGAAGAGCAACCAAAGTGATCAGATAGCTGGAAAGGGAAAGAGTAAGAGGGCTAAATATTTATAGCTTGCTCTAGCGTTGGCTGCGGGGGGCGGGAAGGAGAGAGAGGATGAGAAGAGATATGAGAGTCTAAAAAAATTGAAGGACGTAATTACCAAGGATGGAGAAGAATCATTTAGTGTGGTCACTGAGGCATAACTAGAAGTAATGGGATGAAGTTAAGCCAGGGAAATTTAGGCTGAATTTCAAGAGAAAGATTCCTAACTGTGACACCTCAGACTGGGGTGCTTCAGTCATCAGCCATGCTCCAAAAGGGAAAGCATATAACTATGGCATTAGAATCCACAAACTTATGAATGAGGCAATGAACCAATGAAATGGATGATACTTGACGATTCCACGAACAATTATGTTTTCCCAGAAGATAAGAGACGAGACTCATCTCAGAAAAGCTTGAACATGCCTGGAAGCATTTGAAGATGGAATTAAGTGAGTTAGGTGCCTAGACTGTTTCTTTAAAAGTAAAAAAAAAAAACTTTTAGTTACCTGCCTAATGCCCCCCCCCCCCAACCAGCTGAGGGAGAGGGGAAAGGAGGCAGAGGCCACCTGTGAAACCTGTAGCTTGGCAGTTTGGATACTCAGCCAGGCTGTGAGCAAGGCTGGTGTAATTCCCCCGTGTGCCTGAGGAGAAGGGATTTCAATAGGCATCTGTCAAGTGAGTGCGCCCTCATCACTGCACTAAGGATCACTCCATCCCCAGCAGCACAGCTTAGGGTATGTCTACACTACGAGGGTAGTTCGATTTTACTTAAATCGAATATGTGTAATCGATATTGCAAAGTCGAACGTGTGTGTCCACACTAAGGACAGTAATTCGACTTTGTGAGTCCACACTAACGGGGCGAGCGTCGATATTGGAAGCGGTGCACTGTGGGCAGCTATCCCACAGTTCCCGCAGTCCCCGCTGCCCATCGGAATTCTGGGTCGAGCCGCCAATGCCTTCTGGGTAAAAAAAATGTGTCGTCATCCGTCCGTCACTAACGCCCTCCCTCCCTCCATGAAAGCGCCGGCGGGAAATCAGTTCGCGCACTTTTCTGGTCAGTGAGAGCGCGGACGCCACAGCACTGCGATCATGGATCACGCTGCGACCATCGCTGCACTTCTGGCCGTTCTCAACACCTCGCAGCTTATCATACACCTTACCCTGAGGCAGATGCAGAGTAATCAGGCGAGGAGGCTACGACACCGCCGTGATGGCCTGAAGTCGGAGAGTAGCACAGAGCTGTCAGAAACCACGAGCCCCAGCGCCCAGGACATCATGGTGGCAATGGGTCATGTGGATATCGTGGAACGGCGATTCTGGGCCCGGGAAACAAGCACGGACTGGTGGGACCGTATAGTGCTTCAGGTCTGGGATGAATCCCAGTGGCTGCGAAACTTTCGCATGCGGAAGGGGACTTTCCTCGAACTTTGTGAGTTGCTGTCCCCTGCCCTGAAGCGCCAGAATACCAGGATGAGAGCAGCCCTCACAGTTGAGAAGCGAGTGGCCATAGCCCTCTGGAAGCTTGCAACGCCGGACAGCTACCGGTCGGTTGCGAACCACTTTGGTGTGGGCAAATCTACCGTGGGGGTTGTTGTCATGCAAGTAGCCAACGCAATCGTGAAGGTACTGCTCCCAAAGGTAGTGACCCTGGGAAACGCGCAGGTCATCATAGATGGCTTTGCCGCGATGGGATTCCCAAACTGCGGTGGGGCTATCGATGGGACTCACACCCCTATCCTGGGACCGGACCACCAGGCCAGCCAGTACATCAATAGAAAGGGCTACTTTTCAATGGTGCTGCAAGCACTGGTGGACCATCGGGGACGGTTTACGAACATCTACGTCGGATGGCCGGGCAAGGTTCATGACGCTCGCGTGTTCAGGAACTCTGGTCTGTTTAGACAGCTGCAGGAAGGTATTTACTTCCCAGACCACAAAATAACTCTTGGGGATGTGGAGATGCCTACAGTCATCCTCGGGGACACAGCCTACCCGCTAATGCCCTGGCTCATGAAGCCCTATACTGGCGCCCTGGACACAGAAAAAGAACTGTTCAACTACCGGCTGAGCAAGTGCAGAATGGTGGTGGAGTGTGCTTTTGGCCGTCTCAAAGGGAGATGGAGAAGCTTACTCACTCGCTGTGATCTCAGTGAAACCAATATCCCCATCGTTATAGCAGCTTGCTGTGTGCTCCACAATCTGTGTGAGAGCAAGGGGGAGACCTTTATGGCGGGGTGGGAGCTAGAGGCAAATAGCCTGGCTGCTGATTACGTCCAGCCAGACAGCCGGGCCATTAGAAGATCCCAGCGGGACGCCCTGTGCATCCGGGAGGCTTTGAAAGCTAGGTTCCTGAGTGAGCAGGGCAACCTGTGACTTTTCACTTTGTGGACAGAAAAGCTGAACCTGCCCCCGTTTCTTTACCCAGTTCATTTTGACTATC